TTTAATAAGGTGTTTGTCTGTATCAAAATATTCTGATTTGTCAACATACTTTGCATGGTCGTTCGCATAAATGAAATGAATTCATCCATACTTTGTTGCAAACTGAGCATCATCGTTTCCATTCTATTTTCTGTGTGCTCTGCTAATTGGTGAGAGACTGAAGGTGGTGGTTGGACATTGTAAGCGGGGCTCGCATGACCCGATTTTATAACGCTTGCAAAACTTAAGTTTTTATTTATAGTGGAACTGCCGAGTGATGATCGGGCTGCTGACGAGAAGAAGACTTCAGGTGTGAGTTTAGAGGGTATTAATGGTGTGTGGTGAGATCGAGCCGTTGAGACTCTTTGGTTTATCCGACTTTTTAACTCCTTGTATACTGGACAGCCTCTGTAGTTTGCTGTGTGGTCTCCTCCGCAGTTACTACTCTTTTTGCTATTTGGCTCATTTTTTAATTCACACTAAGCAGAGGTATGCAGCCCTCCGCAGGCGACGCATACAGAGCGGAGTGTGCAGTAAGATTTGGTGTGTCCCTATTCCTGACCTTTACTACTTTTTAGCTGATAGGTAAAGTAGTTCTTTTTCTTGGCGTCTAGGAGCTCCGACAATTTTCTAAAGCTTTCTTCGCTTTTGACTTGGGCCTTTGTTTCATGTACACTGCCGCTCAACTGAAAAGGTTCATGATCTCAGAGGTAGTAATTTGTCTATAATTCCTAAACCAGTGTACCGATTTCCATAATTTTTTTTTCTTTTAATTCTTGAATCATTTTATTATAAAATGCTGAAGAAGGTTTATCAAAAACATATTGTTTTAGGTTGAACCTATTCAGATGACCGAAAAAAAATCATGAATTTTGTTAACCTTTCAGAAGAATAAATTAAATAAGGAATAAATAATATGTTTTTGAAAAACCTTCTTCAGCATTTTATTATAAAATGATTCAAGAATTAAAGAAAAAAAAATTATGGAAATCGGTACACTGGTTTAGGAATTATAGACAAATTACTACCTCTGAGATCATGAACCTATTCAGTTGAGCGGCAGTGTATGTCTCCTTTAGTCAAGGGGATTACGTGGGCGCTATCTTCACCAATCAGGTCGATTATTATTATTATTGGCAAGAAAGTCATGTCGTTTTTTAGTAATCGTTTTTATTCTAATTTATTTACGACTAATCGAGCACCAGGGTTTTAGTATCGTTTTAAAGCTTATTGTCTTAGGTACTATCAACGAAAATTTGGTAATTATTCGATCACATTTGTGGAAGCTATAGCAAATTAAACATGGAGGACCAAAGTGAGCATTTTCGGCATATTTTGCTTTTTTTACTTCCAAAAAGGTAAAAAAGCGGTCGAAGCTCGCGAAAAATTGTGCGAAGTGTATGGTAAAGATGCCATGAGTGATCGCCAATGTCAGCGCTGGTTTGCCAAATTCAGGCTTGGAGATTTTGGAGTTAAAGACGCCCCACGTTCTGGTCGACCGTTTTTGACGAACAAATTCAGGCTTTGCTGGATGAAAACCGGCGTTATTCACCGCGGGAGATGTCAGAGAAGCTCAAAGTTTCGCATACAACGTGTTGGAGCAGTCAATACAAATTTAGAATAATAAATACATAATAATAAGTAAAGAGAAAAATTGAAGTCCAATGAAGTTCTTGTACTCTAAGCCTAGCTTGTAAATTAAATTACTCTAACTCTTACTCTTATACGGATAAGCTTTGTAACTTCGTAAGAATTTGGCACTACTCGTGTGAGTCAGTCGTTCATAATCGCTCATCGTGAATAGCTGCGCCCGCGCAATAAATTGCATTAACTCGATTCGTCTTTGCGTCTTCTTTCGTGACGGAAAATCCCCAGCTAGGCTGCTACACCGCAAGTCCACTTTTAAATCATTTTCGATTCCGTGAAAAACCTCACGGATTTTACACAACGGTGGAAAACCATTTGAAGAAACTTGGCTACGTAAGCAAGCTCGATGTTTGGGTTCCGCATAACTTAAGGGGTTACATGGGTTTCACGGTTTCAAAAAATCGATTTTTTTTTTGTCTTATTAAATTCTATAACACTTCTAGAATATTGTCCTAAATTTTCAAGTTGATCCGAGTAATAGTCTCGGAGATACAGCCTTGAGAAGGTGGACGCTTGAGACCACTTTTATTGTCTCTTAAAACTTTAAACGCGTTTTTCTCAAAACTATGTTTTCAAAGTCGGTTGTCAAAATTTCTCGGAAACTACTCAACCGATCTTAATGAAATTTTACACAAGTATTCGAGATATCATTTACAAGGTATTGAACGAAGGATTTTTTTTTTTTCAATTACAACTATTTAAAAAAAAAAAAATGTCGAGAAATTTTCATCGAAATTTGCATTTTTTTGTAAAAACGTCTGCCAAAAATCCAATTTTCATTTTTTTTTTTTTTCCTTCGTCCAATACCTAGTTTATTGTCTATACTGAAACACGTTTTTTTTATTTTTACTTTGGATGATCCTGAAAGAAGTTCTGCTGACAACGCGGAGGCACCTTTTTTCCGAGGGACTGCCGGAAATGGCGTCGTAATGGCCGACATTTTGATATTTTTTTTGGAAAATTTCACAAAATCTTTATTAAATATGTATCTTTTAAATAATAAAAAGTTTCATTGAAATATTTCATTTTTTATATGCAAAAAAAATGTTTGAAAAAAGGCCGTTTTTTACCCGAGGAAACCCATGTAACCCCTTAAAGGAAATTCACCTAACTAAGCGTATCAACATCTGCTATTCTCTGCTGCAACGGATTAAAAACGATCCTTTTTTGAAGCGGATCATTACTGGCGACGAAAAGTGGGCTGTTTATAATAATGTCCAACGAAAAAGATCATGGAGCAAGAAAGATGAGCCAGCCCAAGCCACATCAAAGGCCGATATCCATCAGAGGAAAGTTATGCCGTCTTTTTGGTGGAATTGAAAGGGTGTAGTGCACTTTGAGCTGCTGGGACGGAATGAAACCAACGGAGCTGAATTGGGAAGTGCTACCACATCCACCTTATAGTCCGGACTTGGCACCTTCGGATTACCATTTGTTTCGCTCTCTTCAAAACTCTTTGAATGGTAAAAACTTTGATTCAGATGAGGCTGTCGAAAACCACTTGTCTCGATTCTTTGCTGGAAAAGACCAAAAGTTCTTCGAGCGCGGAATTATGCAGCTGCCCGAAAGATGGTCATTAGTGGTCGAACATAAAAATAAATCATCTTTGAAAATATTGAAAACGACATGACTTTCTTGCCAACCCAATATTTCATTCAACATCTGCTATTCTCTGCTGCAACGGATTAAAAACGATCCTTTTTTGAAGCGGATCATTACTGGCGACGAAAAGTGGGTTGTTTACAATAATGTCCAACGAAAAAGATCAAGGAGCAAGAAAGATGAGCCAGCCCAAGCCACATCAAAGGCCGATATCCATCAGAGGAAAGTTATGCTGTCTTTTTGGTGGAATTGAAAGGGTGTAGTGCACTTTGAGCTGCTGGGACGGAATGAAACTATCAAATCAGATGTGTACTGTCGCCAGTACAATTTGGCGGAAAAAATTAAAGAAAAGGAGCCAGCACTAGCTAATCGCAAGGGGATAGTCTTTCACCATGACAACGCTAGGCCCCACACATCTTTGGTCACTCGGCAAAAATTAACGGAGCTTAAGTGCTACCACATCCACCTTATAGTCCGGATTTAGCACCTTCAGATTACCATTTGTTTCGCTCTCTTCAAAACTCTTTGAATGGTAAAAACTTTGATTCAGATGAGGCTGTCGAAAACCACTTGTCTCGATTCTTTGCTGGAAAAGACCAAAAGTTCTTCGAGCGCGGAATTATGCAGCTACCCGAAAGATGGTCATTAGTGGTCGAACAAAACGGCCAATACATAATTGACTGATATAAATAAATCATCTTTGAAAATATTGAAAAAAACGACATGACTTTCTTGCCAACCCAATATTAACGAGGTTGTTGTAGTTTTTCTCTCGAATGTAAAGTGGATGCGGCCTCGGTTTCTTTTTGTCCGTATCCAAGACTGTAGAAGCGATTTCATTGGACGTGTCAGCCAAAAGTTCAAATCTATTTGCAGTATTAGAGTTTTGCACAGTTCCTGGGCTTGGGAGAGCCTGATTTATTTTTGCGACGTTACCCATTTCCTTGCCCTGTGGGCTTAGTTTTCTTTTAATGTTTATGTAGCGATCCATGCCAGTCTGTATGGACGAACCTTGCTTTTTAATTGAAGTATTTGACGGTTTCGTTAGTTCTATATAGATTTTTCGATCTTTATGGTAGCTATATTATATGGTAGTTCGATTTTGATAAAATTGAATTGTAAATTCGACAGTAGTTAAAAAACACAAGTCGATATCTCTCGTGCGTTGAAAACTTCTGGCCTAAATTATAATAGCATTTGCTGTACAAGGGTGAACAAGTGAAAAAAATAAAAGACATATAGATTCAATCTTTATTTTCAATTTTTAAAATAAAAGTTATCGAATAATTTTTATTTTCCAATTAATATAATATAAATTGAAAATAAAAGTCATTGCGTAATTTTTATATAAAAATTGATATTTAATAATTATTACTAATTTTTAATTATTAAAATTAATTTTATTTATTAAAAATCAATTTTTTTCATAAAAATTGAAAAAAAAAAAAAACATTTATTTTGTCTTTGAACTAAAATTTAACTTATGACAATTTTTTCCAATTTTTTTGGAGACTGTTTTGGGCTTCAATTTTTTTAAACTCATAATAATTATTTGCGGTCCCTGTTTATAATACACTCTGAAAGGGTATACAAATTGAGGCACCAGTTTTCGTAGAAGCCGACAAAGGAACATGTCGAGATCGACTTAAATGTTAACTCTAATTAAGAATATTATTATTGGCGTCGGAAGAATATTCTAAACCTGTATTGCAAACTTCTGACTGAACACACAATACCGTCTGCAATAAGATAAAAATAAATAAATAACGTACCTGCCCTTTTTCTTTAAGAGCGTTTGCAAGATTGCAATAGGCATCGGGAAAATTCGGCTGCAATTCTATGGCCCGCCGATAAGTGTCTATAGCCAAATCAATAAGGCCTTGTTCATAGTACACGCATGCCAAATTTCCATGAACTACGGCATTATTTGGAGATAAGTTTAAGGCACGTAAGTACGCGGCCACAGCTCTAGAATTAAAAATGTTAAAAAATTTTAATAAACTAAGCAATTATTGTACAAGACAATATAAGTAGTGTTCACTATATAAATTGAGTTCGCCTACTTTCGTTACAGTATACATTAGTAAAATGATGTATATTAACCTTTTCCATAAAAGCCTTAGCTGAACCAAAAACTTAAACACATATCTGCAATTCGTATATTTCAGTTTACTTAGATTTGGTTGATTTTGGCAGCTTATTTTAACTACTGTATAAACAACCACGCACTGATACTCCATTTCGGGTATTTATGAAAACTATTCATTTAAATAATAGTAATGAATAAATTTAATTATAGCAAAATTCGTATTATAAAATACAAAATATAAATAAAAAACTATAAAAATGTAGGTTTTGATTTCTTGAATAAAACACGAAATTACGTGAGTAGGAACATGCCATATATATACCTACATACATATTTATGAATATTTTCAGTGACGTAAATAAAAACAAATGGATACACACTGCGGTTCAACTGAATAGGTCAAGGTACTAGCTTCTTTGCAATTTAGGTACAGAAAACATTTGGACCGTAATTGTCAAATGTAGGGTTTTAAACAAATTTTTTTTTACATTTTTTTTTTTTTTTTTTTCTAAATGACCAATATGTCGAGAACATTGTGTACAAATTTTGAGTCAATTAAAGTCAAACTAACGGAGTTACAGCGTTTTAAACAACCGTATTTGGACGTATTTTCACGTATAAAAATACTTTGAATCGATTTTGCCGAAGACGTTATTTTGAAAGTCGGTGAACATCAGAACTCAAAATCTACTGAACCGATCCTTTTCAAATTTTTAACACAAATTCTCAACATAAATACGCAGGTAATCAGGAAGAGTTTTTTTTTAATTTTTAATTTTTTTCTATTTTTTAAAAATAAATTAACAGCGATTTTTTAAGCTAAAATCGCACTTTTCACTTTCAAGTGCTCCCAAAAATAGACAAAAAATAAATTTAAAAAAAACCCTTCCTGATTACCTCGGGAAATTCATTATCTTTACAACGCATTTTATTTTTAAGATGATCCGTTAACGCCCTATGATGTTCACCGCAAAACAACTTTTTTTTAGGCGCTTCGGAAGATTAACCGCCACAGGCTTATTTCTTAATATTTTTAAATAATTTTTTTTTCTAATACTCTTCAAAAGCTGAACAATAACATGTAATTAAGCTCAATAAAATAAACTTACTCATTTCGCCGCAAAAAAAAATCAAACATGGGCCTTTTTTTGGCCTTTAAAACCTTAATTCTCTTAATTAAATTCTCTTCTAATTAAACCTAAAAAATCTTTAAAAAGTTCTGATTAAGGGGTTATATCCAGTTTCAATTTTGAAAAAATCGAACATTTTTTTTTTGCCAATTTTGAATGTATATATTTCTAAGATATATATATATATATATCTAAGATATTGTATGAAAATTTCACAGTATTCCGGTAAATAGTTTTGGAGTAATGAGTGTATTTATAAAGACGTCTCCCACGTAGTTCAACTAGTAGCCAAAACTTTAAATGCGTTTTTCTCGAAACGATGTCTTCAAAATCGGTGAGGAAAATTTCTCAGAGACGGCTTGTCCGATTGACTTAAAACTCTCACATTCTTTTCTTTGATATTTTTTACAGGTAATGACACGGGGAATTTTGGCTCCGACAAAAATTTCGATTTTTTTAGCCACTTCAAAGTTGAAATTTTTGTGCCAAAAACAAAGTTTTATGTTTCGGAAGCCGCCATTTTGTCAAAAATCAAAATTTTGAAAATCCCAAGTCTCATTACCAGCATTTCTCTTTTCTTTGCGTAATCCTTTTGGTTTTTTGTATTTCTGATAATTTGGATCAGAGATATCTTCCTCACCGCAAAACGCCTTTTTTAAGTGGACCCTCAGAAGATCCTCTACAGGATCGACGGAAACCAATATATTTCTTTTTTGAAAATGTATTCTGAAACTACAAGAAATTATCTAACTTTTCATATACAACACGTATATATACAATAAAAAGCCACTCCAGAAATAATTTACAAAAAAGGTCATTTTTTCGGCCTCGCAACTGGATATAACCCCTTAACCCACTTTTTAAACAATCTATAGTGAAATTTGTCTTCGAAAACAATTAATTAGTTTTTAAGTTGTGAAAAATTATTGATTTTTTTTCTTTGGATTTTTTTGGTTTAACTAGAATCTATACTACTAAAAAAATAGATTTGTGTTGGTTTTTTTTTATTCAGATGGAAATTGTGACCTGCATCTTTTCCGACACACGACGCATGCATATATTTAAGTGAACAAGAAGGGAAGCTCGCTTTGACGACCCGAAGTTTTTATACCCTTGCAGGTTTTAAATATGACGAACAAAGTACATGAAGACTAAACAACAACGAAGCTATGTCGATTTCTATACAAAATCAGAGTAAAGGGTATTATAATTTAGGCCAGAATATTGCAAGGAGACACCTCAGACCCCATAAAGTATATATATTCTTGATCAGCATCACGATCTGAATCGAAATACATCTGTATGTCTATCCGTTTCTACACAAACTAGTCTCTCAGTTTTTAACCTATATTACTGAAACTTTCCCAAAAGTTGTGTAGTTATTGCACGCAGTGTATAAGTCGAAACGGGACGGATCCGGCGACTATATCGGAAAGCTCCCATACGAGAGATTGAAAAAAAAATTATATCATCATATCATATCATATAGCATATCGACTTGATTTCTTCCAGATGGTCTTTTTTAACTTCTATTGAATTTTATCAAAACGGGATAGCTCTATCAAATAGCTGCAATAAGAAAGATCGAAAAATACATACATGTATACATAACGGAAAAGAAAGTATAATTTCGTTGGTTTTAATTCCAAGAGCATGATTAACCCTTGAATCGAGAAAAAATTGATCATATAGCTGCCATAAAAAAGATCGAAAAATCTATTTAGAAATAACGGAAATTTTTGGAATACAGTTTTCATCTAAATCGGACGACTGTATCATATAGTTGTCATATTAACAATAGTCGAAAATATGGAAAATGAATAGAAAAATCGACATAGCTTTGATGTGAGCAGCAGTGGACCTAGTCAACAATTTGACAACTGCGCAAAGCAATATTTCATCATCAATCATGATTTTTAAAACAAGTTTTTAAATACCTTAGAATCTTGAAAAAATTTCATAAAAATCTGACAACTATATAGTAAACTGCGAAAAATATATTGGGTCTACAACTTTGCTTCCGCCGTTTTCCAATAGATGTCTCTAGGGTCAAGCACTGGTCGATATAAATCGATTAAATACTTTTATATCGATCTTACACATCTGCCCAACAAAACCCAACTAAATATTTGTGGATATCTGTTTGCATCCCAAACCTATTCTCAACTGAAAATGTCACTTTTTGAGCCGAATTCTCGACATTTGCGGGAAATTTTGTTTTTCTTTTTTAATTCCAAGAAAAGGGCTGCTGAAGCTCATCGAATGCTTTCGGATACGTACGGTGAGGATGTTCTGAGTCAAAGAACATGTCGCGAATGGATTCAACTTTTTAAGAATGGTGATTATGAAGTCAAAGACCGGCATGGTGGTGGAAGGGAGAAGATTTTCGAAGATGCTGAATTGGAAGCATTACTCGACCAAGATGCGTTTCAAACCCAAGAGGAGTTGGCCAAATCATTGCAAGTGACACAGCAAGCCGTGTCAAAACGCCTCAAAGCCAGGGGGATGATTCAGAAACAAGGAAACTGGGTTCGTTACGACTTAAAACCAAGAGATGTCGAACGGCGCTTTTTTGCATGTGAACAGCTGCTCCAAGGGCAAAACCGGAAGGGATTTCTACATCGCATCGTAACTGGCGACGAAAAATGGGTCCATTACGATAATCCTAAGCGAAGAAAGTCATAGGGAAAGCCTGGACATGCCTTCACGTCGACGGCAAAACCAAACATTCACGGCGCCAAGGTCATGCTCTGCATTTGGTGGGACCAGCTGGGGGTGATATATTATGAGCTGCTAAAGCCAAGTGAAACCATCAAAGGAGATCGATACCGAACGCAATTTATGCGTTTGAGTCGAGCACTTAAAGAAAAACGGCCACAGTACGAGGAAGGACACGATAAAGTCATTCTCCAGCATGACAATGCTCGGCCTCACGCCGTAAAGGTGGTCAAAAAATATTTGGAGACGCTGCAATAGGAAATCTTACCCCACCCGCCGTATTCTCCAGACGTTTCTCCATTTGACTACCACCTGTTCCGATCGATGGCACACGGTCTAGCTAAAGAGCACTTCAGTTCTTATGAAGAAGTCAAAAATTGGATTGATACTTGGATCGACTCGAAAGATGAGGAGTTCTTTCGTTACGGAATACGCATGCTGCCAGAAAGATGGTCAAAAGTAGTAGCTAGCGACGGCCAATCTTTTGAATAACATTTCTGAAACCGTTTTTTTTACAATATAGCCTTGAATTTACAATATATATAAATAATCAAAAAAAAAAACGTCGTTTTTTATCCCACGATCATGATTTTTAGAACATACATTTTTTTTAAATGCCTTTGAACCGAGAAAAATTTCATAAAAATCGGACAACTTATCATATAGCTACCATAGGAAAGATCAAAAAATCTATATAGAATTTTTCATCAGAAAAGCATAATTTTTAAAATATTGAGTTTTCTGATGACTCTTGAATTTCGCATTAAATTTCATACAAATCGGACGACTATATGATATAGCTTTCATATGAACAATCGACGAAAATACAGAAACTTTATAGAAAAATCTAAGAAATTTTTTTTTGTTTTTCAGTCTCTCGTATGGGAGCTATCCGACTTATATACTGCGTGCAATAACTACACAACTTTTGGCAAAGTTTTAGCAAGATAGCTTTAAAACTAAGAGACTAGCTCACAAAGAAACAGACATGAGGAGAGACGGACAGGCGTACAGACGTATTTTGATTCAGATCGGGATGCTGATCTAGAATATACAGGGTGGCAAGATATAACCCGTACTTAAATTTTTTTAAAATGCAGGTACACAACTATTAAATAGATATTATAATAACATATATTCATCCGGTTTCAAAATGGCTTCCTTCTTCTGCGATGCAGAGCCCTAAACGTTTCTGAAAATTTAGCGCAATGGGCCGCAGGTCTTCTTCCGATAATCGATCCCAATCTCGGAGCAATGATTGCTTCAGCGCCTCAAAACTTATGTGGCGTTTAGTACATGCCCTGGACTCCGAAATTGACCACACACTGTAGTCCATCGGATTGAGATCTGGAGAGTGAGGTGGCCATTCACTGGATGTGATAAAGTCCGGAAAATTTGCTTTGCACCAGTCCTCTTGAAACGTCCACTCCGTATCACCAAAGTGCTACTGGGCCCAAGGAAGCAGTTTCCAAAATGTCACGGCGGTAAACTTCCTGATTAATTTTGACCCCTTGCTCGATGAAAACAAGGGGTGTTTTGCCAGTGGCGCATATTCCCCTCCAAACCATTACAGACTGCTCACATTGACGACGCGCGATGATTGCAGAGGTACCTGGAGCTTCCGCTGACCAGCTTCTGTCATTTTGGAGACTGTGTGCCTGTTGGATGGTGAATATTAAAAAAAAATTTAATATATTCTCGTCCGTGAAGAAAAAACGCTCCCATTTTTGACCTGCGGCCCGACGCTTCAGCTGACGGCATCTTTGGAGTCTCATGCGCTCCGTAAGAAGATGCACTTTTTGGAGCTATAAATAAAGTTCATTTTGACAATCAACCGAACACTTTATCGATTCACTCCGAGTTCACGGGCTATTTTTCAGACCGAGACACTGCAATTCCGGGTTATCCGCTTTTTCACGATCTGGCGAATTCTGGAAGTGTTGGCGGTGCATGGTCTGCCTCGTCCGGGACGGTCACCTTCATAGCCAAGCTCATAAAATCGCCGGATAGCGACAGAGACTGTTAGTTTTGATATGCCGAGCAAACGAAAAAAGTATCATTGGCAATTTCCTTATTGTTACAGTTTTAAAATTGCACAACGCGTGTTAGACATCCTAAAAAAATATTAAATTGATGGAAATCGCAATCCATTTCTGTAATGGCTCCGCCATTACATATTTGTAATCCATTGCTTCCAAATTTGTCCGGGTTATTTCTTGTCCCTCCATATATATGGTACTTTATGGGGTATAAGGTGTCTCCTTCTCTACCCTCTGCAAGGGTATACAAATTTGAGAGGACTTGAGAGGACACTAAAATTTGAAAGTTTCATATCAATTGAATATTTGTTTCCTTCCCTAAAAATTCTTTGAAAAAATCGATTTTTTGAAGTCTCTAAACAAGAACCTAAAATAGTTTAGGCAATCAAATCTTTTGTACCTGTCGGAGTTTCGTTAGACTTTTCCATTTTTAATCGAATTATTAGCAGCAAGTTCTGCTCGTTTGCTTGGCGCTTTCTGAACTGACTTCCCAAGAGTCTGCTTTCCAAATTTATACTTTCTACTCTATTCTTTTACATTGTTAGCCATCTCTTTCTAACATGTATGTCAGCGCTTAACGAACAGACACTTGGCAGCAGTCTAAATCTGTCCTGCTCTGCCATGCTTTCACTCAATTTCTAACTTCCTTTTTTAATTGTCCCTGCTTCACATTAAAGAAGGCCCCGCTTCACCTGTTCTGACCAAGAGAACAAAGTAGGCCCCGTTTCATCTGATCTGACATACCCTTTATGGTAAAAAACTTTAGTAGCCGGATACTTAAAATTCGATCACTACAGTATATAAGTCGGATCGGGCCGGATCGCCCGACTATATCGGATAGCTCCAATACAAGAGAATGAAATAAAAAAATCTTACGCCGTTGTTTTTTATCAGATCGACTTGAATTTTTCCAGATGGCGTTTTCTAACTACTATTGAATTTCGGATTAAATTTTATCAAAATCGGATAACTCTATAATATAGCTGCCATAGAGGATCTCCCGAGGGTCCACTTCAAAAAAGGGTTTTGCGGTGCGGAAAATATCTCCGGTCCAAATGATCAGAAATACAAAAAACCAGAAGGATTACGTAAAGAATAGACAAATGCTGGTAATGACACGTGGGATTTTCAAAATTTTGATTTTTGACAAAATGGCGGCTTCCCAAACATAAAACTTTGTTTTTGGCACAAAAATTTCAACTTTGAAGTGACCAAAATTCCACGACTCATTACCTGAAAAAAACTATACAACTATATCATATAGCTCCGATATGATCTATAGTCGAAAATATGGAAAACAAGAAAGGAAGCTAGCTTCGGCAAGCCGAAGCTTATATACCCTTGCAGTCATCAAATATGTCGAACAAAATGCATAAAGGCTAAACAACATCGAAGCTATAACGATTTTTCTATTCATTTTCCATATTTCCGACTATAGATCATATGGGAGCTATATGATATAGTTGTCCGATTTTGATCAAATTTAATTCGTAATTTAAGAGTCGTAAGAAAACTCTATATTTCAAAAATCATACTTGTCTGATGAAAAACCACGATGTTATAATTTTACTTCCGTTATTTCTAAATAGATTTTTCGATCTTTCCTATGACAGCTATATGATATAGTTGTCCGATTTTTATGAAACTTTTTTCTTAATATAAGAGTTGTTAAAAAACTTGATATTCAAAAAATCATGCTCATGGGATAAAAAACAACGATGTTATCAATTTATTTCCATTAATTCTATATATATTTTTTGGTCTCTCCTATGGCAGCTATACAATAAAGTTATCCGATTTTGATCAAATTTAATACGAAATTCAATAACAGTTAGAAAACGCCATCTAGAAGAATTCAAGTCGATCAGATCAAAAACAACAGCCTGAGATTTTTTTTTTTCATTCTCTCGTATTGGAGCTATCCGATATTGTCGGCCGATCCGGCTCGTTCCGACTTATATACTGCGTGCAATAACTACACACCTTTTGGGAAAGTTTCAGCAAGATAGCTTTAAAACTGAGAGACTAGTTTGAAGAGAAACAGACAGACGGACAGACGTACAGACGTATTCTGATTCTACTCGTGATGCTGATCAAGAATATATATACTTTATGGGGTCTAAGGTGTCTCCTTCACTGCGTTGTAAACTTCTGACTGAAATTATAATACCCTTTTGCTCTGCAAGGGTATAAAAATCATCCTTGTCTGATGAAAAACAACGATTTTATCATTTTATTTCCGTAATTTCGATATAGATTTTTCGATATGGCAGCTTTATGATAACGTTATCATACCGGAAATAAAATTGATGATGATTTTTGCAATATAGAGTTTTGAATAACGAATTTAATTTTATAAAAATCGGACGGCTTGCCGAAACTAGCTTCCTTTCTTGTCTTGTTTCGGTTGATCCGATAACGAGTCATGATGTTCAACGAAAAACAAATTTTTGCTAGAAGAGTACGTTGCCATCAGGTGGCGAAACGGAGTTCGCCGGGGTTTGCTAGTATTCTATAAAATGCAAATGAGTTACATGAAATACATATTATGTATTTATATTACATTTATATATGTATTTGTATCGACTCGTTAAAATGTTTAAATATATGGTAGTATTTCCCGGCCCTTCATTGAAGTTTGAAACATGAATAACATGTTAAATAATAATTCAATAGCATACCAAATTAAAAAGGAATTGTACTTACCTGTCAAATATCCTTGCTTCCTTTAAAACATTTCCCAAATTGATGTATGCATCCAAAAAGTTGGGGTCAAGAGTAACAGCTTTTTCAAAGTGGTGAATAGCTAACCAAATCTCCCCCTGAGCGTTAAACACACACCCTAAATTGCTCCATGCAACTGCGAAGCCAGGACATGTTTCGATTGCCTTAAGGTAACATGCCTACATACAAAATAAACCAAAAAAATTAACATTACTTTTGTGATATTTAAATGTTTTTAACCGATTGTTTCTGTTTGTTTTCCGAAGTGATATTTTAAATTCAGGTCGAAAAATCAAACATCTACACAATTTTGTGAACAAAATTTGAAACTTGTACGTACTTTAGCCTCTTCCAAGCGGCCAAGCGCCTTCAGCAGATTTCCTAGATCGCTGCGGACACAATACAGCTCCTGCATTAAGATACGTTACGATTTTTATATTAAAAATGAAATTAAAAAATTACTGGATTATATTGAAGTGCTGTAATATACGCTTGAACAGCAGACTCCATATCACGTGCAGCTACCAATGCAGCAGCCAAGTTTATGTATCCATCAATAAAGTCCGGCTTGAGTCGAACAGCTCTACGATAGTTGTCTAAAGCTTCCTGCAGTTGTCCACGCTCTTTGAAAACATTACCTAAATTGCTGAAATAACAATTTAATTAAATATATTGTTGGAGCAGTAGATTAAGTTTTATTGTTAGCTTTGAGGAAAGATGATAAAATTTAATTGATTATATGCAGCCAAAGGTAAACTAACAAACCTAAAACCAAATTGTACAAAAGCCTATCAGTTAAATCACAAACAACTCGCCTATGGTCAAGCTTAAGTGCAACTGATAAGGTTTTCTGTTCGTGGCTATGCGAAAATGTATGCTGCTCTTAGAGAACATTGGCCGATCGACGCTTGAAGCTGCTGGCTGCAATAAAATTTTGGAACTAACTTCGATTCGTTTTGCTTCTTGGAAATTCCCCAGCCGCTAGTCGCCAGTCTCTTTTAGTTTAATTTTTGTAAACGTAAATTTTCCGGGAAAACTCTTCCGGATTATCATGTATAAAAACCTATGAAATTTTTATATCCAAAGGGGATAATTTTACTCAACGCGTTATAGACGTAAACTTATTTCTTTATTACGTAAAATATTTTAAAAACTTTCACGATCAAACTTTACCAAAGTTAATTGGCAAGCCGAAATTAATATACCCTTGCAGTCATCAAATATGTCGAACAAAATACGTAAAGGCAAAACAAAATCGAAGCCATGGCGATTTTTCTATTAGTTTTCCATATTTTCGAGTGTTATTCATATGGCAGCTATATAATATAATCGTCAGATTTTGATGAAATTAAATTCGTAATTAAAAGTCGTAATTCGTAAAAAATCGTTTAAAAATTCTAAACTCCAAAAATCATGCTTGTCTTATGAAAAACAACGATGTTATACATTTATTTCCATTATTTCTATATAGATATTAAATCTTTCCTATGACAGCTATATGATAACGCTGTCGGATTTTGATGAAATTTTTTCTCGATTCAAGCGTTATTAAAAACTCCATATTTTGAAAATTCTATGGCAGTTATATTATAAAGTTATTCGATTTTGATAAAACTTATCCCGAAATTCAATAGTAGTTAGAAAACGCCATTTGGGAGAAATCAAGTCGATCTGATCAAAAACAACGGCGTTAGAATTTTTTATTTTATTCTCTTGTATGAGAGCTATCCGATATAGTCGGCCGATCCGGCCCGTTCCGACTTATATACTGCGTGAAATAACTACACACCTTTTGGGAAAGTTTTAGCAAGATAGCTTTAAAACTGAGAGACTAGTTTGCGCGGAAACGGACAGACGGACAGACTTACAGACGTGTTTCGATTCAGTTCGTGATGCTGATCAAGAATATACATATATGGGGTCTGAGGTGTCTCCTTCACTGCGTTGCAAACTTCTAACTGAAATTATAATACCCTTTTCCTCTGCATGGGTAAAAAATTCAATCTTTTAGTAGACACTGGGGCTTCCAAGAATTACATCAAACCTATGAAAGAATTTAAAAACGTTATTTTCGTAAATCAACCATATTCTGTAAAATCGATCTATGCACCTTCTTAATACAACTACAACATTTTTCTTGCTACCAAACTTAACAACGTTTGATGGAATTATTGGACTGGACGTACTAAAAAAGACTGACGTCGTACTTGACCTAAAAGAAAAAAAGTTAATAACTAATAGCAGTTCGGAGGAAATTAAATTTTTGAAGTGTGCAAATGTTAATTTTACAAAAGTTGAGGATATAGTGGTAGCACAGGAAATAATGGAAAAATTTCAGGAAATGTTAGGAACATACTAACATTGTTGGTACTATCCGGACAGAAAATGAAGATCCGATATATTCAAAACTGTATGCATACCCGATGGGCGTGTCCGACTTTGTAAACACATAAACACAGGCGATCCGACCATCTCGTTCTCCATATAACAACCCCGTTTGGGTTGTAGATAAAAAAGGGACCGATGAACAGGGAAACACAAAAAACGCCTGAAGTCTATTCAGAAAGCTTAATTTGAAGACAATAGATGACAAATACCCTATCCCGAACGTGGTTTTCATCTTGGCAAATTAAGGAAAGGAAAAATACTTTACCACGTTAGATTTAAAGTCTGGTTTTTACCAGATACTACTCGCCGAGAGCGACAGAGAAAAAACGGCCTTCTCGGTAGGAAATGGAAAATATGAGTTCTGTAGACTACCCTTTGGATTGAAGAATGTACCCAGCATTTTTCAGAGAGTCATCGACGATGTGCTCAGGGAACAAATAGGGAAATCATGCTATGTCTACGTCGACGACGTTATCATTTTTTCAGAAAATATGCACGAGCATGTAAAACACAGCATAAGTCTTAGACAAATTATATGAGGCCAACATGAGAGTTTCGCGTGAGAAATCTAATTTTTTTAAAGAAAATGTAGAGTATTTAGGTATCGTGGTTTCACGTGGAGGCATTAGAACATGCCTTAACCCTTTACATGGTGGTGATGCATATCTGCATCATACCGTTCAAATTCATTTATTTTTCAACGGGCGTTGCAAAACTTTCTGAAATCTTTTTGATGCAGTTCAGAAACTTTCGTTTTTTATATAACAAGTGTTAGTCACTCAGAATTCTGTCCAATACTCAACAGATAATTACTTTTCCAGCCAATTTGGTGAATGTGGAAATCTGAACTGGTTGTGCAGTTTCTCATCCAAATATAAATATCAAAAAAAAATGTATAGTTAATTTAATTTATATTTATAAACAGGTAAAAATTATATTTAGGTATATATTGTCGAGTTTTTGTGTTTGTTGCATTATAATATGAATAAATCTACAATTTTGCCTTGTTGCAGATATGCATTAAAGTGGCTTTACACTTAGAAAAAATAAGGTAAAACCAAAAAAATTAAAAAAATAAAAAGAAGTGTATTTTTTATTTTCACTTATCTACCAAACAAAAAAAAAATGAAGAAAATCGGAGTTATTGCCATGTAAAGGGTTAACAAAGTAGACGATTAACCGACCACACTTTTTAATGTCAGATTATTTCTCGACTAACTAGTTACTATAGGTGTTTCATTAAAAACTTTGCATCAATTGCAAAACCTATAAGTGAAATCCTAAAAAGAAAAAATGGCAAAGTAAGTGCAGGACAATCAAAGAAAATACATGTTAACTTCGACAAAAATCAACGCCAGGCATTTGAAAAACTTAAGAGTGTTCTCGCGTCTGAAAACGTAATGCTATTATATCCAAAATACAAAAAAGCGTTCGACTTGACGACAGATGCTTCGTCTTTTGGTTAGGGAGCAGTCTTGTCACAGGACGGAAAACCCATAACCATGATATCGCGAACTTTAAAGGACAGGGAACTAAATTTTGCGACTAACGAAAGACAGTTATTAGCAATAAGGCCATAAAAAGCCTCAGGAATTACCAATACGGCATAAAAAATTAAACATTTTTACTGAACAGCAGCCACTTACTTTCGCCGTCTCAGATCGCAATCCAAACGCAAAAATTTAGCGCTGGAAAGCTTTCATTGACGAGCACAACGCCCAAATTTTTTATAAGCCAGAAAAAGACATCTACGTAGCTGACTTTCCCGACAGCACATCCACGCGCTAGAAGAGGATGCTCATTCAGATATTGCCACAATACATTGCGAGCTATCACTCAACTACATTATTGAAAAATCATACAAACCGGTCAACTACTTTCGGAACCAGATAATCATAGAAGAAAGCGGAATTGCTTCAGTAAGAAAGGTCAATATGTTTGGTGAAAAAACACGACATCTCTTAAATGAGGTGGTCGAAAATTGTAAAACATGCCAGAAGGCAAAATACGATAGACATCCTCAGAAACAGATTCTCGGCGAAACACCCCCTCATACACAGGAAAAATCTTACACATTGACATATTTTCGACAGTTTCAAAATTTTCAGAAATTGCCACAATACATAGCGAGCTATCACTCAACTACACTATTGAAAAAACATACAAACCAGTCAACTGCTTTCGGAACCAGATAATCATAGAAGAAAGCGGAACTGCTTCAGTTAGAAAGGTCAAAATGTTTGGTAAAAAAAACACGACATCTCTTAAATGAGGTGGTCGAAAATTGTAAAACATGCCAGAAGGCAAAATACGATAGACATCCTCAGAAACAGATTCTCGGCGAAACACCCATTCCCTCATACACAGGAAAAATCTTACACATTGACATATTTTCGACAGATTTAAAATTTTCAATTGTTCAACCAATCGCTTCCAGAACCATTCCAGACGTGCAAACCGCGATTTTACAACTTATTAATTTCTATCGGCGACCAAAAACAATATACTGCGATAATGAGCCCTCTATAAAATCTGAAACAATTAAGTCTCTTTTAAGCAACCGCTTTAACGTGCAAATCGTTAATGCACCGCATTCACAGTACATCGAACGGACAAGTGGAAAGATTCCACAGTACACTATTGAGGACACGGTTGAATTAATACTACTCGCGTCTATACAATACAATAGAACCATTCACTCTGTAACAAATAAACGACCCATCGACATAATTCACTCATCAACCATAGAGATTAACGCAGAAATTAGAGATATAGTCTCAAATGCACAGAACATCCAACTACAAAGATTAAATAAAAAGTAGATTAAATAAAAAGTAGAAGAAAAAGTTATCGTAAAAACAAATAAGAGGTTGGGAACCAACTTTTCAAATTTGTACACCGAGGAAACCATAGAAGCAGACTTGGGGACCACAGTTTAATAAAAGGGAGGGTAGTAATCACCGATTACACGGCTTCAAATTGCATACCAATCATAGACGGAAACGTGACCATTTGGATAGACTTCCAGTACCTAAAACATTCGACCAATTTAACAATGTATTCGGAGATAGTAAAGGACACGGAAGAAATAGAAGACCACTTCCTTCGGTCACATATGAGACAGATATTAGACTCCGATTTAAGACACATTAGAACTCTCATAGCTACAGTCAGCACCCTAGAAGCATCAACTTATTCATAAAAATTCAAAAACAGAACAGATAAATACAGAAAATTTATATGAAAAATTGCTATCAAGAAACAGAATAATTATTTCCGAACTCGAAGCCTTAATGTTGTCAGTTACACTTGCGAAAATGGGAATAATCAACCCCGCGATTTCAGATTCAAATGATTTGCAAAATTTAGTCAATGAACATTCTACAACACTATTACTGACCTAATGGAAATTGCTCAAATTAAAGTTTAATAAAATAATAATTTTTATACCCTTGCAGAGCAAAAGGGTATTATAAATTCAGTCAGAAGTTTACAACGCAGGGAAGGAAACACCTCAGACCCCATAAAGTATATATATTCTTGATCAACATCACGATCTGAATCAAAATACGTCTGTACGTCTGTCTGTCTGTCCTCCTGTCTGTTTCTATGTAAACTAGTCTCTCAGTTTTAAAGCTATCTTGCTGAAACTGTCCCAAAAGTTGTGTAGTTATTGCACGCAGTATAGAAGTCGGAACGGGACGGATCGGCCGACTATATCGGATAACTCCAATAAGAGAGAAAGGAATAAAAAATTCTTTCGCTGTTGTTTTTGATCAGATCGACTTGATTTCTTCTAAATGGCGTTTTCTAACTACTATTGGATTTCCGATTAAATTTTATTCAAATCGGACAACTTTATCATATAGCTGCCATAGGAAAGATAAAAAAATATATATAAAAATAATGGAAAAAAAATTATAAGTCGTTGTTTTTAATTTCCCGAGCATGATTTTTAGAACATCAAAATTTTTAAATACACTTAAATCGAGCAAAAAAGTAACAAATTTCGGCTTCTCGGACCCGCACACCCCTCGTCCTTTACTATGGACCCAAGAATAGAACTTTTCGTCACTCCTAGATGGCGCCAGGTGGCAACCCCACCGCTAGGATAAGTCGCCACTGGCTAATCACCAGTACGATCGAAAACTGAAGAATGAATGAATCTTCTTCAGAAACAAAAAAATTGTAGAGCCTCAAATTAAATTTCATCAAAATCGGACAACTATATCATATAGCTCTCATATGAACAATATGGAAAATTAATATGTATTTTGCTTGACATAGATATTAATGACTGCAAGGGTATATAAGCTTTAGCTTGCCGAAGCTAGCTTCCTTTCTTGTTTACATTTTTTATTAAAATATCCTAAGCCGTACGTAACTTGTAAGAAGATAATCTTGCATCCCGTTGAAAACAACGGCACTATTCCTAATTTTGCTGAAGATAGTATTATAGCTGACTGCGGTAACAAAATCATGCCGATTGGAAACTGCAGCACCGCCCTTACAACAACATTTTGGTAACCGGAACGTTCCTCGTTGCATTCGACGACGAGGTAAAAATAAATAACACCGTATACCAAAACTTGAAGTGCTACGTTATAAAATCACCAGCACCCGCTGCATCAACCGTCCTTAACATTACGGACCATTAAGAAATACTGAGCTTACCATACTTACAAAAATTAAATATGAAAAACCTACGTTACATAGGCAAAATAGAAAAGGCACTGGAAACACGGCCTATAATATCTGGAGTGGCCGCGATCGCCTTCTTGGTCATCTGCTTTACTATTTACAAGCTCTATCAGAAATGCCAGCGAGACCAACGTCAGCGTGACCTTCAAGTTATCATTGACAGCTTCAAGAAGTCCGAGGACGTCCTTCATCTAAGTAAGGGAGGAGTTAACACGGTCTCCCAGCAAAACGAAAGTTCCCAGGCTGATAATGCTTAAGGGGGGGGTAAGGTTTTAAAGCCCAAAAAAAGGGCCGTGTTTCATCTTTTTTTGCGGCGAAATGAGTAAGTTTATTTTATTGAGCTTATTATTTATTTATTTATTTACATTAACTACATGTTATTGTTTACCTTTTGAAGAGTATTAGAAAAAAAAATTATTAAAAAATATTAAGAAATAAGCCTGTGGCGGTTAATCTTCCGAAGCGCCCAAAGAAAAGGTTGTTTTGCGGTGAACATCATAGGGCGTTCACGGATCATCTTAAAAATAAAATGTGATATGCGTTGTAAAGATAATGAATTTCCCGAGGTAATCAGGAAGAGTTTATTTTAAATTAATTTTTTGTCTATTTTTGGGAGCACTTGAAAGTGAAAAGTGCGATTTTAGCTTTAAAAATCGCTGTTGATTTATTTTTTAAAAATAGAAAAAATTTAAAAATAAAAAAAACTTCCTGATTACCTGAGTATTTATATTGAGATTTTGTGTTAAAAATTTGAAAAGGATCGGTTCAGTAGATTTTGAGTTCTGATGTTCACCGACTTTCAAAATAACGTCTTCGGCAAAATCGATTCAAAGTATTTTTATACGTGAAAATACGTCCAAATACGGTTGTTTAAAACGCTGTAACTCCGTTAGTTTGACTTTAATTGACTCAAAATTTTTACACAGTGTTCTCGACATATTGATCATTCAGAAAAAAAAATTAAAAAAAAAAATGTAAAAAAATTTTTTAAACCTTACCCCCCCCTTAACAGAATAAAATAATGCAAGGCTAGCAGAGCTCGCAAATAACAGTCGACCGTTTCTCGTTGTCTGCTAATAACAGTCTTCTCCTGACCCTTTACGAAAAGTCTCAGAGAACGACCGATTTATGGGTTCGTGAATGGGTTCGGTTGCGCTCA